AGTTCTGCAGATCAATGGTCAGTCCCTCCCCTATGCTAGTTTTGCATTTACGGGAGGGATAACCCGTAGAGAGGCCAATTTCCACTTAACATTGGCAAATTCGAAGTCGGTTAAAGAGCACAGGTTTAGCGCTTGTGGGTGTTTACTCAACAGCCACTTCTCGTGTGTCTCCATATTCATCCTAGGCTACCCGTAGATGACCATAGCATAGTGTGGTGACGGGAGATTATCCCGAATATTAGCTTTAGCAGGAGCATACACTCAACTCCCACGCCTTTTGTGAAATGGAGCATCAGATAACCATCAGGTGATCAGCTCTCTCTTCAACGCTTACTCCAGTCACCAGGATACCGGGTAATGGTGAAACCGCCCTTTTTCCGTTACGACCGATGTCGTAATTTCAGAATTTGAGGCTCGGCTGCTGCATCGCTATGGGTGCAGGTCCTGACGACTGTTTTAGACTGATTATTTCGCAGTGACCACGCACATAACATAGATACGAGAGCTTTCTGCCGTCCCATTAAATGTTCTTAGAGTGACCAAAATACGGTTTTGCAAGCGGAACGGCAAAGAGGTTGATTCTACAATGGGCTCTATTCATACCGACTCACCAGACTGTTAGTCAGGGAGGTTAAGAAAAGGCTCCGGATCAGGACAGTCATAAAGACTTACCCGTAATATAAGGAAAAGTTTCCCAGGTGTAACTTTGTAGATGGCAAAAACAGCAGGATTTATTGGATCCATGAAATTTCGGGAAAGTTCTTCCAATTTTATTTATGAATTTACATGCGTTTGCGGATACAAGTACATAGGGCGAACGCAAAGGCAATTGGCAGCCAGAGCCAAGGAGCACTTGCCTAGTTGGCTATTCAAACTGGAAAATCGAACCCCTCGTTCCTCCATTACAGAACATTTTCTAGATTCGGGTCATTATGTCGGCCCTAAAACTTCCTTCTGAGTACTTGTTCGAGCACGAAAAACTTGTACCTCGCGCTACCTGGAGGCAGCCTATATAAGGCGGTCAAAACCTGACCTATGTAAAC